CAGGATGGGATTAGTACCCTTATAAGGAGAGACACCAGATACTTGCTTTCTATCTCTCCCCTAAACATGTGGGCACACAGTGAGAAGGTGACCATCTGTAAGCCAGGAAGAGCCTTCACCAAGGAATCAGAATGCCAGCACCTTAAGCCTGGACTTTTCAGCCAGCAGAACTATGAGAAAATAAATTTGTTCTTCAGGCCACCAGCCTGTGCTTTTTTGTTTTGGCAGCCTGAGAATACTGATGCAGGAGAGGAGGTGAGGGAGACTTCAGAAGATATATAAAAATAATATAGGAGAAGAGTAGAGAGAATTGACTTGGGTAATAGTACGTTTGGCAGGCAGCTAGATGTGTCTTATAACTTAAAACGTCAGTACAAATACTTCAACAGTAAGTATGTCAGGAAGCCTTCACTCTGAGTCCCTAAGGAGGCTGGGTGTGAAAAGAACAGAACACAGAAGTAGCCAGGTTCTATGCCACACATAGAAGTATTATATAGTTGTGTGAAACATCTACAGCAAGAAATTATAAACTAGGAACCAAGATTTTCATTTCAGGTTGCAGGAATTACGTAGAATGAAGTTATAGTTATAGCTTGTACATATATGGTGCTTTATGTGTGGGACACTCATTTTCTAAGTGTTACACACACACACACCAGTTCATTGAATCATTATAATAGCCCTGTGAGGTAGGTACTATTATTCTTATTTTTTGCAGGCAGCAAAAATTGAATCACACAGAGATTAGGGGCCTTGCCCAGAGTCATACCAGAAAGTGACAGTGAAGTCACACCAGAGAATAACACAGGTCAGAATTCCCATCCCACACCAGCCTCTGGCATTTCCTCATTGTGATGTGAGCTCTGCCATTTGAGAATTTCACTCTGGAAGAACAAAGGTTAAGCAATGGAGTGGACCGAAAACTACAAGGTTTTTTTTGTTTGTTTGTTTGTTTTTTGAGAGGAAGGCAGCAGCAATTCATCCTCTAACTGAATGTTATCTGGACTGTTGAAGACGGAAAAAATCAGCTCATGAGCAGAGCTAAGTAAGAACAGTTGACCCAACCTGTATTCTTGTGGGTGACAGGGTTGTTGGAATGAGACTGGCAGAGTGGCCCAGGGATAGATGATTGAATGAAGCATGTTTTGGGCCAGGAATTAAGACAGCAGCTTTTGTGTTAAAAAAAAAAAAAAAAAACAATCCTGACCTTATGAGTAGAGCCTTTTAGCACATGCCAACATAAGGACCCCCTTCCTCTCATTGTCGGGGGGAGGTGGACTGTCTCACCTGACAGATCAGCAATCCAAATGGGAAAGGATACATTTCATGTTGCTCCAAGCCTCTCAGCCTGCAGGTACACAGTCAGACAAGGCAACAACAGGGGCTAGAACGTGTTCTGCCTCTGGGGAGTAGGAGATGGCTGTATGTTTGTGGGGCAAGGGAGGAGCTGCAGAATTACTGTTTCCTAAAAGGCCTTGTAAGGTTTTTAAGTCTTTATGTGCATATATGTCTGATTTTTTTAAATGAACTAAGAACTCTAACGAGACTCAATTTTTCACCTGTCAAATTAGCAAAGATGCTAGTGAGCCTGGAATGAAAACACTAGTAAGTATATAATGGGATACTTCAGTTACTGCTGGCGGCAGAGTTAATTGGTGTGACCTTTCTAGACAGCAATTTATCTTTCTGAAGAGTCTTAAGAAACCTGATGTCCTCTGATCAGTAATTCTGCCCCTGAGAATACACCATAATAAAATGGTCCTAAATGCAGAAGAGAGCTTTTCATTCAAAGAAGTTTATAGGATCATCATTAATAATTGTGAAAAACTGGAAACAAACAGAATGTCCAACCATAAGGAAAAAAATTAAATAAACCATGGTACATTCACTCTTTAAAATATTATGTACCACTAAAAATATTTTAAAAGAAAATGTAATAAAATATTAGTAGAATAATGGTAAGAGTAGGATACAAAGTCATATATACAATTTTTTTAAGTGCACATATTTTTGTCAAAAGCTTAGAAGACAAAAGACTTAAACAATTAGAAAAAATAGTTGAAGGAAGCTGGTAGGAAAATTGAGTTTCCCCTCTTTGTTTCCATTTGCCCGAATTTTCAAGTCTGATCATGAATATGTTTTGAGTGAAAAATTAAGTTATATGCAATTAACAATGTAAACGTAACCATCAGAAAGAAAGAGGGGTTGTCATAAAGGAGGCTGAGCCCCGTAGCACACTGTCTGTCATTAAGGCCAAAGGGAAGTCCCAACACTTGAAAAATGTAATTTAATGTTCTAGTGTAGCTGTTACAGGAATAGCTTTCAAAATGAAGCTCATAATAGAACCTAAAATTAATAAAGGTTCTGGATATGTGGCAGAGCTTGGTTTATTTGCAGTCAGTTGGCTCGGAAACTTTGTTGTGATTAACCTGCATAAGAAAGCTGGAATCGAACTTGAATTTTTTATCATATTGCATTCAATCTTGTTTATTCCACTGAAAAAAACTCATAATGTATTGGGAAAGGTTGGAGGTAGGAAGTGAGGAGAAATTACAGACAAACATGTTTTAGATTAGAGACTATTCTAGACCATGGCTCTGAGGTGGAATTCATCATTGGCACGAATGCTTCTGCACCATGTGCAGTTTTGAAAAAGAGCAAAGGTGTGTGTACGCCGGGTTTCCTCAGGTCTCTCGTGTTTCTGTGTAGTCACTTCAAACAGGATTTGAGTTAGGAGACGGGAGTCAGGGCTTCTAATCTGTAACCCACTAACATAATTTTTAAAAAAATTTCTTTCACAGGACTGGTTACTACTCTTAGTGCCTAGCTTTTCAGAAATGTTTAAAAGCACAATAAGTAACACCTCTTGGTTACTGCCTTAAAATGTAAAAGAAAAAAATCCTGCCATTTGCAGCAACATGGATGGACCTTGAGGGCATTATGCTAAGTGAAATAATTCAGAGGACAAATACTGTGTGATATCACTTATATGTGGAATCAAAATAAAGAAAAAGAAGGAAAAAAAAACAACAACCTCACAGATACAGAGAACAGATTAGTGGTTACCAGAGGTGGGGGTGGGGAGGCGGGAGAAATGGGTGTTGGTGGTCAAAAGGTACAAGCTTCCAGTTACAGAATAAGTAAGTCCTGTGATGTAATGTACAGCATGGCAAATATAGTC